TGCTTCGCCGAGTTTGTCTAGTGAGCTTTGAAGGTAAGCAACCTGTTGAAAAATTAAATAAAGTGTTAGCATAAAAGATTTACAAAACAGCTGGTTCGTTCTAGGTTAATTTCAAAACCATGCTTCTTTGATTAGCTTCTATATCAGGTATGGACAACTTTGATCCTGCCCTGCAGAGTTTAGCTCCAACCCTAAACAAACACACCTGAACCAGCTAATCAATGTCTTTAGGTTTACTAGAAAGTTAGTGAGTTTTATTAGGTTTGGAGCTAAACTTTGCAGGACAGTGGCCCTCCAAGGACCGAGTTTGCCCATCCCTGGTCTATGGTTTCATCTAGAAATGGAAGTAAACAACCAGAAACATTAGTTCTTAATTAAACAAATAAACATCTATATATGACAAAAGACTAGGATTAGATTGAAACTAGTTCATCATGGCAAAATAGCACAGATGGCCACTAACTGAAATTGATAACAGTAAAAAGGCAGGTTGTACCCTCTCTCCATACTTCTGCTGCTCTTCGGCCTGTTTCCCCATGTGCAACTGTTGAGAGACAGAGGATATAGGGCGACTTGCTTAGAAACATGTAAAAAAAAAATCAATAAACATGAGGCCATCCTGCTTTGAATAGAAGACTCACATGAGCAACTGCAGCAAAGTAGTAAATCTTCATTTGCACTAATTTCTTCCAGTCTTTCTGTATCTTTCCTAACATTGAAACCGTTTCTGAGTTCTCCAGAGCTCTGCAAGCCTCTTTGTAATAGTCCACCACCTGAAGACAAAAGATTTCGTATCCAATCAGATGTTAGATTCATACTGCAGCTAGTAACAAAAAATCTTTGCCATGGATGTAGCTTAATTTTAAGGAACTAAATGGTTAAAAAAAAAGTACCTGGGCACTTATCCGTGCAACAAGGAAGCTCTTCCGGTTGTCCAACATAGATTTTTCCAACAGGCACTCTTGGGCCTGACCCTGAAAAGAGCAATTGGCACTTTAGTCCTAATCTACAAAATGGCAAATGTATATACATATTTATATATATGAAAGCAGTTGAGTAAAACTAACACATGAGCATACCAGCATGAGGTTGATGTTGAGATTAAGGATCTGGTGACTCATGTCCACACTAAAGTTGTGACTGAAGTGATCACGCAGGTAGGTGAACGCTCCAGCTGAGCACTGAAAGTGTGTGCAAGATACTTTCATTCCCTAACAGTGAGGGGAAGAGTGAGAGTTAGGACCCTAGAAAAAAATGTACTTTTACCGCAAATTTCCGTAATTAATTGGAAGTTCCAGACCAGTAAAAAAATATTTTTAGTTGAAATCTCAGGCTTTTCCGACTTGTGCCGTTTTTCCATTACCAGTACCAGCTCGCCTCGGCTCAGCTCGCTTTTCGTTCCGTTTTCCATTGCAGACAGTACCGCCACAAATAGTACCCGGTCGTCATAGCGACGCCTTTCGTTCGTCGTTGCCCTATCAATCTCTCGCAGGATCCTCTCTTCGGCCATAGATATCCACAATAAAGGCTAGATGTCTTACGGCAGAGTTTCTATCGTCAGTTTTATTTTAATAAAACATTATGATAGCATGAAAAGAGCTTTTACTGTTATAAAAACATGGATTTGGGAGCATTAGCAGAACTGAAGGTGTCAGAATAAATCCGGAACACGCGTCATTGCTGTCATCAGTGAATCTGGCCAATCGTGGAACAACTTTGTCCTCATCAGAGCTTGTCCAGTAACTCTGAAGAATCAGGCATCAACGCTGTCTGAAGTCGGACAAATTTTTTAACCGGCATCACTGCTTTAATTCAGACACTGAATGGTCTGAAGTCGAACACACCCATTTAGTCCGCTTAAACCCGACCCCTTTCAAGCAATCAACTGCAAGCTAACATTTCAATCTGCCAATTGTTGGTTAATAGAAACAATCACCCATACTACAATTTTTTCTTTTTCAACAATTTGTCTCATTCGGATGTATGTCACAATTCGGAAGTAAATATCTGTCACTACTTCCATTACATCGCAATTTTAACAACACACCAAAGTTTAAATTTCCTCAAGTTATTTGTGAATAAGTGCTGAAATAAAAAAAAAAATCTCTCAGCCTGATGATATTTCAGAGTTGAACCAGCTACTCCTATATGACGCACACACTGCATTAAAATCACATGAAAATGATTCCTTCAGTAGTTCAGCTCACCTCTTCAGACACCCTGTTGTCCATGGCTCCCAACATTGAATGGAGTGCTCCTACAGCATGGGAAACATGACTTGAATCAGGAAACAGGCCTGATCTTGAACAATACCCTCTTCTCAACAACACACTCGTTATTTAATCGCAGACAATGCAGTCATTGACTAGAGGAATAATACGTATCAGTTTAGTACTACTCACCCAAATTATAAAGGATGCAGGCCTGCTCGTAGCAGATGTCCTCATGGGTCACTGTCTTTCCAGAAAATATCTCCGTCCTACATATTAAAGAAAAAAAGTGTAAGGGGAAGCCGAAAGGCAAGCACACAAGTAAGACGGCTGGTTTGGAGCCCTCACCAGGAGATAGGGACAGCAGCTTCCTGCCCAAATCCCAGAGGCACACGACTCTGAATGTAATGCAGCTGCCCGAAGTACTTCCTTAAGGTACTGCAGCCTTCAAAGTCCCGTGTGACATTCACAGCACTCTAGAAAGACAAGACAATTCAGAGAATGTAGAAAAGTTATGACCATAGACTTCCCATCTACCTGTTGCTCAACTGGTTGGGCATGGTGCTAGCAAAGCCAAGAGAGATTTTCAGGGAAGACACATAATGATTAAAAGTATACATTGAATGCACTGTAAGACTCACCTGTCTGAGTTGCTCCAGTTTCTTCAACTGCTCATTATAATTGTCGGGATTTTCCCCATAGTTCTTCAGTATGAACTGAGAAAAGGGAAAAATAAGTTAGCAGAGTTACAGCTCGGCAAATAAAGATTGGTAATGGTAAAAGATTGCACTGGTAAAGGAAAGAAAGCAAAAAAAAAAAAATATGTAGTTTACAATTGTTCATTTGAATAGAGCAAAAACTTTTTAGAAATAAGCAAATAAGTATTCTGATTTTTTTGGCCACTAACAAGACCATTAAATACAATACACATAAATAAATAAATAAACGGTTTCAATTATTTTACAGTAAAGAGACACTGACAAAAAATAATCAGGCTTTATGATGGAGCCTATAAAAACTCTTTGCTTCACTAAAATATAATAGTTCTATAATTTTGTTTGCATGCAACACTATCAGTAATTACCACGCATAAACAACCACCATTACAACCCGGACCTGTTGTTCATCATTTGGCCTAGTTTGTTAGGAATGGATATGATAACTAGCATAACACAAGCTAATAAAAATTCCTGACTGCTGGGAGGAGGTGGAGGATAAGGAAGCATGTGTTTGTTTTTTGTTTTTTTGTGAAGTTTAATACATTCATATAAACATTAAATGCAGTATAACACAGAAAAAAAATATTCTAGTGTATACTCAAGGACGGACTCTGCAGTAATAATAATAATGGATTAAACACAGAAAACATGCAAACACAACTCATTGCCATTCCATTGCCAAATATACGATTCCAATTTCCAACTCATAAGAAAACAGCAATGTTTAGGTCAGTGAGTGGCCAAATAAACCAATAGGTTCTGATATTTGATTTGTTAAAATGGTCGATTAGGTCGATCAGCACTATTTTGCTTAAATAAATAAAATAAAAATATACTAAACACATTTAAAAAAAAAAAAAACAAACTCATGACTTTCTTTTTTCAGTGGCACATAAAGTCATTTGTAGTATAATTTCTGTTCTTTCTGTATTATAATAAAGGAGTGAATGGTGACCACATTAGTCAAGAAATATTTGAATGCCTCAGTACTGTTCACACAGAAATCTATAATATGGCTCCAGAAGATTCGAAATAAAGTATGATGCTCTCTTGTCATTAAAGTGTGGGACAGCTCCAGTCCCCAACCACTTTCACTGTTTAGAAAATATCGATTCGAAGATTCTATAAAAAGTTAACATAATTTTGTGTTCGCAAAAGACAAACACACACAATTTGGAAATACATAGGAGTAAATAATAAAAAAAATAAATAAATCTAAGCTTAATTTGGTCAATTAGATTATTGTTTGAACTGTTTCTTTAAGAAAACACAGAATAGCTCAAGTAACCGCTGAAAACGGCACAGGGTTAACTTTAATTTTGTGGCAGATTACATGCCTAAAATATGCTGTTTTGTTTATTTTCGATGTATAAGAGCAATGACAGGAGTGTGTGATTTGAACAGGCCTGTTTGTTTGGTCCCTCACCTGTTTGACAGTCGGGCTGAACTGAAACTCTCCAGCCTCCTTTAGATCCAGCCAGATCATCGGCATTCGCGGCACGGCTTCCATCGCAGCCGCTGATTTCGCTAAGCCGACTAAAGTAGAATAGTATAATAGCGTTCAAGTACTTAGAAATCCTGCGAAAGTCTTATTTTGAATTTTACAGCTCTAAACGACTGTGTCATGTCCCCGTTTACATCCATACAGGAAGCGATTGCAGCCTCGGGAAGTGACGTCATGTGATCTCGATTCTGACTCTGGGAAATGTGGTTCTGTGTTTTCATGTCATGTAGGCCTACCGGGTGTACACTAAAAAAAAGATTTACAGATTTTAAGCATACTGTGTCGAATTTTGAATTAAAAGTCAAATTATCTAGCCTTACATTTACAAAAAAAAAATTACATTCTCATTTACTTGAGAAAATAATTAAAGTAAAATTATTTTTCCTTAGCTTATAGCTTTTGAAGATCGGTATGGCAAATAATGTTAGACACTTTAGAGACTTATAAGATCATTTTCATTCTCGCCTTTTTTTTGGTCCTTATGTGTGATAAAAATTATTTTTCCTTAGCTTATAGCTTTGGAAGATCGGTATGGCAAATAATGTTAGACACTTTAGAGACTTATAAGATCATTTTCATTCTCGCCTTTTTTTTGGTCCTTATGTGTGACCAGTGTTTTTCTGAGCAACTTCTTCTTTCATTCAGTCTTTTGTCAGTGACATGAAAACATCTTCTTTAAGCTAAATAACAGAAACAGTGAATTGAAATGCTGCAAATTATTGTAGGACTTCTTTTCCTACCTGGTAAGAAAACATTTTCTTGCGTCTTTAGTACATTTTGTCAGTTGTTTGTTGCTAATTAACTGATTTAATTGATTTCAGACTGCAATCAACTGAATAGTTATTCATTCATATATTTGTTTATACCTTGAGACAATCTATTATAGATATTTTTTCGATATGACATTTTCAAATAAATTATTTACTGCATCAATAAATGTTTCTGATATATTGCCATAACTTTTTTTTTTTTAATTTTACTTTTTTTAATTCTAAACCTTCCTAAAAAATATAAAATCCTAAATATTCAGTGTGGTCTGAGACCTTTCCCACTGTAGGCCTATATTATTGATTCATTTTGTAAATTATTTCTTAAAAAACAATATATATAATAGTTTGTTTAAGATATATTTTAACTATCCATTTTATTCTACAAATTCTCCAATGAAATGAAGTGTTTTGTGCTCCAGGTGTTCTCAGTGATTATCTGTGGAATGTGAAGTATCCTTCTTCTCCGATCTGTGCTGTGAGGGGATCCAATGTCACTATTGCCTGTTCATTTACATATTCACCTAATGCGCAAGTAAAGCAAGTGATGTGGTGTTCAATGAATTCAAACCATGGTTTCTGTTCAAATATGCCATATGTTTATGACAGTGATGCCACCATTCATCAAAGAAACTTTCAATACATTGGAGATAAAAAATCAAATTGTTCTCTTTTGATCAGTAATATTACTCAAACACTTTCTGGAGAGTATAAATTCAAATTTATAACCAATTTGCTAGGCGGAACTTGGACAGGTGATCCTGGAGTTGAAATTGCAGCACACGGTAAATATAAAAGGTTTATTCTGGAAAAAAATACTTGATGCTTTTGTTGTTGCTGTTTTGTTTTCTAAAAGAATCCCCGAATTTCATTATGGGCTGTTTCTCTTGTTTTCTGACAGATTTAAGGGTGTTAATGACCAGATCGAGAGACACTGCAAGCATAATAGTAGGAGACTCTTTGAATCTCACGTGCACACTCGACTGCTCTAATTTAGATAAAGTTCAGTGGTTTAAGGATGATGAACCGATGACACATTCAGACCCCATCCTCACCTTGAGCAGTGTAACTACTAAAGACTCTGGGAATTACTCCTGTTCTCTGAGGAACTTTAAAACAACTGTTTCTGAACAATATAGAATTTACATTGAAGGTTGGTTGAACTAGTAAACATATTACACATTCATATCTACATGATCATATTCATATTTGGTAAATGACAGATTTGTGTATACTTTAAAGTAAATTATGTCTATCTCTTTGTCCTCAATAGAGGTTGCTGTGTCCCCAACAGTTCCGATTATTGTCGTGTCTTCAATCGCACTTATTGGTTTCATTATTGCAGCTGTGATGCTTATAAGAAGGTACTGTTGGACTTTTTGTTATGTTTGTTCATGCACACACCAATGTTATAACTCTTTCATTCAGTCTGAATGAAACATTAACTGACCTTACACAATTCAGAAAACACATCAAAAATGACTTTGAAAGTGCATTTTGTGTTTCTGCCCGAGGGTTTTATGTTGGCGAGGGCGAGTGAATGAGGCGTACGACACAAAGACATTACGCATTATTCAGTTCAGGCGTTTGTTTATTTATTTGTTAAAAGAAATAATTATTGTAAAATATTTTCTGAAATCATACAAGATCTTGTATCAGCTAAATTGTGCAATTTATAATGCATGTCTGCTATATACATTTACTTTTAAAGGAAAGGGGAAACTTGCGGCAAACCAAAGGAGGAAGAAGAAGAAAACCAGGTTTGTCGATTCAGCACTCACCAAACAACTTTTTTTTTCATTTGCAGGCATCTGTCAATACTGAAGCCAATTTTTCAAAACTCTTCATACAGTCATACCAACATAAATCTTGGCCAAACTCATCTCACCTCCAAAACTCTCTCAGACCAACAAAACACTAAATCTCAAAATAAGCTTCTCATTTAGAAAGCATACATCACTCACTCATCACACACTCATCACACACTCAGAACAACTGGCCTAAAACAATAACAACAGGAAGCATTAGATAAAGTATAAATCATAAATTATCATAAATTAACTTTTATCTTTGAAGTTTTAATGATTTTTCACATATATAGAAAATTCATTATAGTATATAACATCTTTTCATGTTACTGGTTGCATTACAGAATGTAGCAAGAATGAATGAGACCTGCAGCAATTTGCAAAAAACATTGACAATGTTGAAAGAAAAAAAAAACGAATTCCCGAAGCATAATAAAACAGTAAATGCAACAAAAGTTGACGGTTAAAGACATGTTGTGTGCCATCTTCTTGCTCTAGGCTAGAACCGAGGCACACTTAGTCTCCACATACCTAGAGGAAGCTGAGGATGCGCTGCAGGAAGTGCAATATGAATCTGTCAACGTTCAACCCAAAGAACTCCTTCAAATGTGAGCATTCAAGAGACACAGCTAAAATTCGTGCTGTACTAAAATTTTGTAATCTGACCATTATGAAGACGATGCAACATGTTTAATCGTTTTTGACTGTCTTTCTTATATTGATAGGGAGTGAATATATGTTATTGAGTATTTCATTGAAACGATTATCTTTATTTCTAGGTCTGCCAACACAGAGCAGGAGAATGATTCAGCCATCTACAGCACCGTGATCTACTTTCAGCAGTAAAGATATATGTGTGTAAGTGAGTGAGTGAGTCCCTGTTTACACCTGGTATTAAGATGCGTTTTGGTCGATCAGATCACAAGTGTAGGAGATAGACACATTCATTTACACCTGTGCCTATACCATGATGTCAGTTTAGGTGGATAGCCAGGTATGTTTCAGTTTAGTTTGCACCAAGAATGGGTTTTGGGCACCATGACAGTGTGTTGTTCAGGATTGGTTAAAAAAAACATTATGCTTGGTACATTTTTTTTTGTCTTCAAACCAAACATGGGTCTTCAGCTAACAAAGTTTAAATCCCGTCTGGCTAGCACGCTTCAATGTTTACTCATTAGGTCAGTAGGCGGAGAGTATGAAGCCTTTTATGGCTGTTTGAATGCATTCGCACATGAGCATCTACACAACTAAAGCAATCCGATCAAATGTTGTTGTTTTTTACCACCTCCGGAAAGTGTACAAGCTCAACACTTTAGATCCCGTTTACACTTGTATTTAGCGTCGTCCACTTGTGATCGGATTGACGAAAACGCTTCTTATGTGGAAACAGGGCCTCAGACTGCAGGCAAATGGTTTTTTTTTTGTTTTTTTGTTTTCTCACATATCAGATCTTTTCAGACAGACTGTCTGCACTACAGTTTTTTCAAATTGCTTAAACACTAAAAGTAGAACTTGAGGAACGTTTCACTCATATACCAAATCTTCAGACCAAGTCTGCAAAACTACAAGCACATTATAGCCTACGCTTTAAACTCAGTTTACAGTTGAAAAACATACTTTTTGCAAAACTCTAAACACAGTTCTTTACATTAGACACATCATTCAAAACTAACAGCTCTGTGGTTTCTTTTGAAAAACACTGCCATTTACAGTTTTATTATTATACACACACACACACACACACACACACACATACACACAGCGCTTTAGAAATAAGTTGACTTTTTGACTCACTCACAGGCCACATTTACACATAGCTGGGTATTTAGAGAAATGAATATTTGTGCACATACAAATACGTGTGACAAACTCCTGAACACTTCACTGCACACTGAACAAGCAAAAGACACAAGTAGGCCTTGTGTTTTACATTTTTCACGTCTGTATGTGGCTAATCATTTGATTGTTTGTAGAGTTACTACGCAAATTCTGGAAGAGTTCAAATAGTTTGGAATGAAGTGTTTACTTTTGCAAGAAATGTCTGAGTTTTGCATGTGTGTGTGTGTTGTCGTTTTGTGTGTAGAGACATTTCAAGAAATGGAGCTATAGTTTCATAAGTTGTGTAAGCAATTTGAAAACTGTTAATGAGTCATGTGTGGAAACATTTATGCATAAATTGATCACTTAAAAATCAACTTTAGATACAATTACAATATAGATTGATTCGCAGCAGCTTCACAATAGTTATCTCAAATTCTGCTGCAAAGCCATTCTAACAAGCCAGTAGAGTCAGTTCTGTATTGGTTCAGTTCATAACTGTAAAATCCATCCGTACTATAGGCTATATATAGCCTGGTTCAACCAGACTCTAGTACATTTCATATGAAATTGAGTGGAAGTGCGTAGGAGGGCACAGCCAGGCTAGGCTATATAGTGTATTTGTGTACATACGTGTGACACACTCCTGTAACTCCACGGCACACTGAACAGGCAAAATAGACATTTTTTTCCATTTTACATTTTTGGTGTCTATGTGGCCAATCGTTTGATGGTTGTGTGTAGAGTTACTATGCAAAAACACAATTTTTGGAAGAGTTAAAATAGTTTCGAATTGTTTGCTTTTGAGAGATATGTCTTATGTTTTGCATGTTGTGATTTTGCCTGTAGAGTTTCAAGAAATGGAGCTAGTTTCAGAAATTGAGACCAAGTAAGATTTGTGTGTCCAGACACATGGCTTTGGTAACAATGTAGGCGTACCCATGAATGTGAGACGGTTTTTAAAACGGATGCAGGAAAAATCATCTTGCTCTCCAAATAATCAATCTGCTGAGTCGCGGTGCAGAACTCCTGTATCGCACAAGTAAAACTCAGCAACAGAGGGGTATATTGTTACGGTTTGAATAACGCATGATTACTTCCGTGACGCATTAAGACGCATTAAAAGACAGTTTGAAGTCTGATTTGAGTGGCCAGAGCATCCAGACTGAGACACATCTGCAAAAATCTGATTGGAATCGCATTTCAAACCAACTCCATTTGTGGTTTGAATCAGATTTGAAAAAAAAATCTAATTGCATTTTGTGTGTCAGACTTTGAAAAACCAATATGGATAAAATCTGGAAATGCAAAAAATCATATTTTTGCTGTAAATCTGCACATAAGTCCTTGACCCCATCTCATTGTAAGGTGTAAACAGGGCCTGAGTGAGTAAGTGAGTTTGCTTATTGTGTGGAGTGCTAAAACCTGAAATCATTGTGGGGAGCAACGGTTCCCATGTAGAAAAAAATGGCTATAAAATATATGGGGTACCTATATAATATAATTTGGGGATTAATACAGCTTTAGCTCAGTGGTGTTTACCTGCGAATTAAACATCCAAGAGCACAGAACATTTTAAACAGGTCAATTTTCAGTAAACCATTATATCGTGACAAAAATCTGAAAAACATCAGACCTGCTGTCCATATACTGTACTGATTGCAGATAAGTAAACCTACTAAAAAATAATTTGTTTGCATTAATTAAATAAAAATAAGATACTTTCTGGGGGAAAATGTAAATACAATGCATTTTAATTGTAGCTATAAATAAGTAGCTACATGCTTCTCAAGAACACTGTAGCTTGCAGGTACACATGTCCATATGCTAACCTGTTTTGTACATATTTTTAATATTTATTTTAGCATTTGACACAAGGTCAGACAGTTGTGTGTTGTATTGTTTGTAAGGCTTTGCTTTTTTAACTTTTAAAACAAACTGGAGGGAATTTAATGAATGTGGAATTGCATTGTTGTAGACCAATGTGCATGATAAATATTTTGTGATATTTTGATTTGTCTTGCATTATTATTTGATCTAAGCCTACATGATTCCATAATTTGATCTGTTAATGTATCAATTTACGGAACTGGTTCCACTGATATTTATTTAATGTATAAATTTAGGGGAGACATTTTGGGAAAAGGTCATTTGTGGATTTTGTCTTAATGCAATGAAAAATGATAGTTTGGTCCTCATAGACTTCTTTGCTGAATGTGTGAAGAGTTTTGAACATGTTAGCTATTGAAAAAGCTGTGAGTTAAAACAACAAAAAATTAAGATATTTTTTATTATTATAATAATATTTTATTTTACTGGGTAGAATATTTTACTGGGTAGAACAGAGTTTTTGTAAGTGTTTCAAAAGTTCTGTTGATAATCACTATTGTCACTATATATATATATATATATATATATATATATATATATATATATATATGCAATAATATATCAACAGGAAATTTTTAATTTATGCAGCTGGCCTTATCAATCAAATTCTCAACTTATTAGGTATTTTTTTGGTTAAGTGGGACCATCAGTATTAATGATATTAAGAAGGAAATGCAAATGCAGTGTTTGTCATTCAACTTCCTCTTTCATTCAGTCTTTTGTCAGTGATATGAAAACATCTTTGAGCTATTACAGAAACAGTGAATTAAAATGCTGCAAATTTTTGTAAGACTACTTTTCTTGCCTGGTAAGAAAACATTTTCTTATGTTTCTAAATGTTGTCTCTTGTTCATTCCTACTCTGATATAATTCATATAAGATTGCATAAACTGAATATTTATTGTATACATACAATGCAGATCACATTGTTTTGTTTTTATTATAGTGACACAAATAGTGCAAAATCTTAAATATTTCTTATTTACGCATTAACTTCTTTGTTTATTTCCAGGATTAAATGGGACAAAAACCCTACATTTTCAATGTGGTCTCAGACCTTTGAATATTACCATATCATAATATTGATTAATCATGTAAATTATTTCTTACAACTAACTATCGATTTTAATCTACAAATTCTCTAATTAATTGAAGTGTTTTGTGCTCCAGGTGTTCTCAGTGAGTGGAATAAAGAGTGGAATGTGAAGTATCCTTCTTCTCCGATCTGTGCTGTGAGGGGATCCAATGTCACTATTGCCTGTTCATTTACATATCCACCTAATGCACAAGTAAAGCAAGTGCTGTGGTGTTCAATGAGTTCAAACCATGGTTCATGTATGAATGTGCCATATGTTTATGACAGTAAAGCCAACAACAATCAAAGAAACTTTCAATACATAGGAGATAAAAAATCAAATTGTTCTCTTTTGATCAGTAATATTACTCAAACACTTTCTGGAGAGTATAAATTCAGATTTATAACCAATTTGTCAAGCGGAACTTGGACAGGTGATCCTGGAGTTGAAATTGCAGCTCACGGTAAATATAAAAGGTTTATTCTGTAAAAAAAATACTTGATGCTTTTGTTGTTGCTGTTTTGTTTTCTAAAAGAATCCCTGAATTTCATTATGGGCTGTTTCTCTTATTTTCTGACAGATTCAAGGGTGTTAATGACCAGATTGAGAGACACTGGAAGCATAATAGTAGGAGACTCTTTGAATCTGACGTGCACACTCGACTGCTCTAATTTAGATAAAGTTCAGTGGTTTAAGGATGATGAACCGATGACACATTCAGACCCCATCCTCACCTTCAGCAGTGTAACTACTAAAGACTCTGGGAATTACTCCTGTTCTCTGAGGAACTTTAAAACAACTGTTTCTGAACAATATAGAATTTACATTAAAGGTTGGTTGATCTGGTAAACATATTACACATTCATATACAAAATCATATTCATATTTGGAAAATGACAGATTTGTGTATACTTTAAAGTAAATTATGTCTATCTCTTTGTCCTCAATAGAGGTTGCTGTGTCCCCAACTGTTCCGATTATTGTCGTGTCTTCAATCGCACTTATTGGTTTCATTATTGCAGCTGTGATGCTTATAAGAAGGTACTGTTGGACTTTTTGTTATGTTTGTTCATGCACACACCAACGTTATAACTCTTTCAGTCAGTCTGAATGAAACATTAACTGACCTTGCACAATTAAGAAAACGCATAAGAATAAAAATGACTTTGAAAGTGCATTTTGTGTTTCTGCCCGAGAGTTTTATGTTGGCGAGGGCGAGTGAGTGAGGCTTATCATGACACAAAGGCATTACTATTCAGTTTAAGTATCATCAAATATTTTCTCAGAAACAAACCCCTTTCTACCCTATTCCATTCTATCCATTTCTAAAATCCAAGATCGTGTAGGCCTATCAGCTAAAATATGTATTTATAATGCATCTCTGCTACATTTACTTTTTTAAAGGAAAGCAGAAACTCGTGGCAAACCAAAGGAGGAAGAAGAAAACCATCAGGTGTGTCAATACAGCACTCACCAAACTGTAAAGATATTTGTAAACTCTGAACATTGTGTAAATATAATTTATTTTGTACATGCATCTCCTGTAGGGAGTAAATATGCCATGCATAATAAGAACAAAAACAAGAGTTATCATGTTTAGAATTGTGTTATACAGTATACAAGTTACAAGTTTATACAGTATAGAAGTTATACAGTAAATCATAATTGTGCAAGATGTATACCCTGTTGAAATGACGCCAATATGTTGTGATTGCTTAATCAGCAAGCCTCCTTTGGTCAACCAGTAAGCCTCCTTTGGTCAGCCAGTTTCACCAGAAAAAAACATTCTGGTTAATCTGAACTAAGCTGGTCTCTTCAGCAGGGCATTAACACATTTTTTTTGACATGTTCTGTGCCGTCTTCTTATAAGGCTAAAACAGAAGCACCCACAGTCACCACAAACCAAGAGGAAGCAGAAGATGAAGTGCAATATGCATCTGTCAACATTCAACCTAAAGAACAGCTTCAAATGTGAGCATTCAAGAGACACATCACTAAAATATTTATATGTGCTGTAAGTACATTTTGTAATCTGACCTTTAGTTATGAAGATAATGCAACATGTTTACAGTTTTTTTTTCTGTCGCTAAAAAGCGTTTGTCCAACCAGTTGTCACATTTTCAAATCTCTACACAATTCGTGCAGCATCAGTCTTTTGTGCCCATATCATTCACACATTTCATGTGGTTTTCACACAATATGCTGTCAGTTGAACACATTTCCACAATGCTTATAACATGCTATACGTCTCAACAAAATTATAGATTGTTTTTGTAGTATTTACAAATATTAACCCACACCAATCCAAAAATAGCAAAAACAATATTCCAAAGATACAGTATAAAAACCTCTGCTTCTGATATCAGTTCAAAAACAAGACTTTTAGTGTAAAAACTGTGGATTGCATGTTTTGCCTGCAAATAAATGTAAAACTGAAACATACAAGTCTACTCAGTTTTTGTAATGTCAACAATAGCCAGTGCACTGCATGCACCTTGTGAAGTGAAAACAAGTATTATTCTTTGACAGAATAATTTCATTTTGAGTCAGATTTCCAGTGTTTTGGTAAAGTGTGCACAGAAAGATGTGTTCTATTTTGAAATGAAGAGTTGGTATATTTTTAACAATTTTTGGAAGAAAATGATCCATTTGGCCAGTTGTGTTGTAGGTGTGAGTGTGTGTTAAGAGTTTATAAAAAGTATCTGAAGTATGAGTAAGCGCTTCGTTAGCGATTGAAAGAAAAACTGTAATCATATTTGACTGTGTTTCTTTAAGTAATATTGAGAGTCAATATGAGTTTGTGACAATTTCACTGAAACGATTATCTTTATTTCTAGGTCTGCCAACACATGGCAGAAGAATGATTCATCCATCTACAGCACTGTAGTGAATGGTTAACCTAGTGAATATACTATATATCTATTTATTGATCTCCATGAGGAAAACAGCTTATAAATCACACTGAATTATATGTTTTCAAAAATATATTAAAAAAAAAAATGCAGAATGTTTTCTCTGAGGGCTGTTTAGGATTATTTGGGAACCTGTTGAGAGTATTTGAGTGTTCAGAGTTTTGAGACTGAGTACTGTTTGTTAGTAGATAAATATCTTGTTGTGCCTGTTGGCATATTTGACCCCTTTGCCTGTTTACTGACACTGATTTGGACTGCCCTTAATACTGATTTATCTTTGTGAAAGTAGGGAGCTTGACACCATTATTTTCTTTAATGTAAACTGTTTAATGTCTTTTTTGGGTTATTTTCATTTTTCTTTTGTTTTGGGTTAGGGTTTAGGAAAGAGATAAATTTAAGGTTGTTTTGTTTGTTATTTTGGCTTTTGTCAGCTCCTGAATCATAGGCTATGTCTCAATTTAAGAAAATAAATAACATTTTGTTCTAATTCCTCACACCTCGTTGACTCTTTTCCCTTAGACAAGGTCTAACAATAGTAGTGAATTGCATTGTTGTGAACCAAATGCATCATAAAAATTTTGTGATATTTTAATTTATCTTTAATTACATTATTATTTTAACTTTATAAGCCTACATGATCCTGAAATGTATTGTCATAATGGACCAATTTCTGACTAGCACGCACGTCAACATCATTTTAATTGACAGTCAACATTGCACATCAGCGCCATCTAAAGGAGAAAAGCTCATCTGCACTGTTCCCATGACAGCGACTTAACACACAGGAAGTTCAGAGCATTTGGTCGAACGAATTTCCGACCCACAGGTGAGGTTATAAAAATCTATCATCAACTCTAATAATCATTTTTTTTATTTAAAATAGAGGGAACAAAATAGTGTGGTGATTTAGATTAAAATGTTTTGATAATTAACGTTACATTTGTTGGGTGATGGAAAAACTAAATTGCATTTGTTCAGTATTTTTGTTTTATTTTGGTTTTGCTACGCATGTTGACGAGAAGAAAAAAAATAGGTGAAAGATATGATGGATTGTTGTTTTAAGTCATTCTTATGACTCGAATGTTGTTTATGTTGCTCGTACTCATTTTAAAATTCAGGAACATCAAATACCTACTAAAACACTAAAATAAGTCAACAAAAGAAAAATAAATAACGTCACGAGAGCATTTGTTGACATTTTCTCGATCTTCATCTCTGCAGTTTGGCAGCACTGGATTCATGACTGAAAAATGCCCAGATTTCGTGAGCGTCAAGGACAAACACACTGTCATCCTGCTTCCACACACACATCTTCTGACCTGGGCAGCCTGATAGCGAACAGATACACCATTCAGCAGAGGCTCGGGAAGGGAAGCTTCGGCACTGTGTATCTTGTTAAAGACACAAAGGCAGTTGCAGCAGAGAGACTGTAAGTTAATACTTGTTCAAATCACTTTAGCGAGGTTTGCACTATTTTAGGTTTATTTTGACTAAAAAAAGATTCTTTTTTTGTTCAATAAACAAAATTATATATCTATAAAAAACATTCTGAAACCATCGAATCCCATCATATTTTAATAAAGCTTTGCAGTAGAATCAAATGACATGATTGATGTCATATTTTTTAAATAAGATGGTTTCATTTTAGTGATTATCGTTAAGGTGGACATCCAATTTAATATGATATTTACCATCTAAATCTAACCATGTCAGGACATGCTGCTGTGAGCAGGTAAGACACGCTGCTGCTATACAATAGCATACATGAATTACCCAAAGCAGATCCATACAGGTGGAGCTGGGGAAGTTGGAAGATTTTGGAAAGCGTGCTGCACTGCTTTAGTAATTTCTGACTAAGTATTTAGCAGTGAGCTCATTGGCTACTGATACAGCAGGAACCAGACAGCTGTGCCCTACAGAGAGTGATGTGATTGCAAGCAGTTTGAGTTAAAGGGGGCACATCGTGAAAATCTGGCTTATTCCGTGTTAAAGTGCTATAATCTGGTCCCCGGTGCATCTACCAACTCACAAAATGTGAAAAGTTACAACACAGTAACATTGTTTTGGTAAGCCTTTCTCTGCAAGCATGTCAAAAAATAAGCTGATCAGATTTCGCTCCCCTTCTGACATAGGAAGGGGATCTTATTACAATATTAGCAACATCTAATCTGCACGTTTTCAACCATGGTTCCCCAATTTGGTTTTTGCAAGCGTCGCAAATTAATGGCAAGTTTGATAAGCTATAATAAATGATCTGGAGGGTATTTTGAGCTGAAATTTCACAGTCACATTCTGGGGACACCATAGATTTACATTACATCTTGTGAAAAGGGGCATAATGTCACCTTTAAGGACCCATCATCTCGTGCCATCTAGAGTTTCATGACAGAACTTTTTATGACCACCTATCTAAATAGTGTCTATATTCGTTCATAATTCCAAATTACTGAATGAATGATAATGCAAATAGAAAAAAAAAATGTGTTGGGTTATCAAAACAACTGTTTATTTAGAATATGTATTTCAATACATTGTTAAAAATTATGTTAAAAAAAGAGTTGCCAGTTGGTAACATGCCTAGTCATAATTGGTTTTGACGTTTTCTTACCAGTTTGGCAAAAGAGAAGTGTTTTCCTCTGTTTTCTCTGCACTGATTTCAAATTTCTACTGTATAGGCAGCCATGTTTTATTGAAATCCCATTTTGAAGTAAATAGTTCCCCTTTAATGTATGACGACAGGGTTTATTAGAGGTTTGTCCTATTAAATGATATGGGTTTTTTTTTGTGTGTAGGATTTAATGAGTTATTCCAGATGCATCCTGTGCATGAGAGAAAATATGCATGTGCACTAAATTAATACTGTTGAAATAATTTAAAATTATGGCAATATTGAAATTGGACTTCAAAAATCACTTCTCTTGTCCGGCCACCTGAGAGCAGCATTGGTCCTTGTTACTAATAACCAGTCATTTTTTTTTTCCTTTGAGATAGAGGAATCATTCATGTTACTACCAACACATCTATTATTCTTTATAATCATAAATGGTATAAGATCCCAGTCTATTATGCTTTCATTAGAGGGCAAAATGTATTATTTTAATACTCTCATGCTTGATCCAGTTTTCATTGTTGGTAATGTAAATGTTTATTTTTCTGTATAGGTGCATATTTTAGAGAGAATAAATGGCCTGTCACTGGAATATTAGCTAAATTGCATAAAGTCTTATGTGATTGACTAGATTCTCATAGCTTTTTACATTCAAATGTTAAGAGTCCTGAGGGAAGCTCCGCTGGTGTCATCTGAATTTGTTGTGAAATATGTTGTGAAGTTGATTTATTGCTTCTGTAGATGCCTGCAGTCTTAAACAGGCAGATTTTCTTTTGAAACAGAGATAAGAAAAGAAAAAAAGGAAATTGTGAGTCATTATTTCAGGAGGCATTAGGTGCTTTGGTGATCGTGGCAATATTACATCTTACCCAGATTCAGTTCGCAGTGAAGCTCCCACAGTTAATTAAAACCAATGGGTCTGAGTTTATGAGGACATTGCTCTCAGAACAGAACAAATGTTTGGCTGTGTCACTTCTATTACATGGCTCTTCATTCTGGTGCCAAAATATCTTATGAGCACTAAACTATTGATTATTTTCATACTGTACAGTAGTTTCATGTCTCTTTATAGATATCTGGGAATCACAATCACAATGATACAATCAGTCAAAAGACGTCTCTTATGCTCAGCAAGGCTGCATTTTTAAATCAAAAATGAAGTAAAAACAGTAATATTGTGACACATTATTACCATTTTAAAAAACTGTTTTATATTTTATGTATATAGTATTTCTGTGATGACAAAGCTGAATTTTCAGCATCATTACTCCAGTTTGCAGTGTCACATGGTCCTTCAGAAATAGTTCAATGTTGAAAAAAGTTTTTAAAGAGACTGGTGCATTTTTCTTTGATGAATAGAAAGTTCAAAAGAACAGCATTTATTTAAAATAGATGTCTCTACTGTTATTTTTGATATGTCCTCGCTGAATAAGTATTACATTTTCTAAAAAACTATTTTTTGGTGAAATTTACAATGAAATAGTTAAGCCAAAAAAAAAAAAAATGAAACGGCTATTTACACATATTGTTCCAAATCTATGGAAGCTTGTTTCCGCCACAGAATGAAAAATAAAAAAAGGTAATTGCGACTTTTTATCTCACAATTCTGACTTTTTTTCTCACAATTGTGAGTTTACATCTCGCAATTCTGACTTTATTTCTCAGAATGCTCAGCGAGATGTCAGAATTGCGTGATATAAAGTCAGAATTGCGAGATATAAAGTCGCAATTGCGAGATATAAAGTCAGAATTGCGAGATATAAAGTCAGAATTGCGAGATATAAAGTAAGAATTGTGTGATATAAAGTCGCAATTGCATGTTATAAAGTCAGAATTGTGAGATATGAAGTCACAATTGCGTGTTATAAAGTCAGAAATGCATGATATAAAGTCCGAATTGTGAGATTTAAACTATTCTGAGAGGGAAAAAAATTAGTATTTTTTTCCCCTTAGAATTAGCCTGATAACTCGCAATTGCGAGTTTATATCTCACAATTCTGAGAAAAGATGTCAGAAATTCGACATATAAAGTCGCAATTATGTGTTATAAAGTCAGAATTGCGAGATGTAAACTGTAAATTGTGAGAAAAAAGTCAGAATTGTGAGATAAAAAGTCACACTTCTTTTTTTTTCTCAGAATTTTTATATCTCGCAATTCTGACTTTATAACATGCAATTGCGACTTTATATCTCGCCATTGCGACTTTATTTCTCACAGTTCTGACTAGATATCTCGCAATTGTGAGATAAAAAGTCGCAATTATGTTTCTCTTTTTTTACTCAGTGGCGGAAACAAGCTTCCATTAGAAATCCATATAATATTTGAGTTATAATATTTGAGTCCCCCCCCAAAAAAAAAAGAAATGTAAAAGAATTGTGATTGCAAAAGCACCATCAAAATGTCATAACTGTATTTCAAGTCATATGATATTTGGAGCTGTATATTGGCCATTTTAGCAACTGCTATTAAGATGAATGGGATTGCCAAGGGATAGTTTCATCCATGTATTATAGACCTTGAACTGTAGAGCCCTGTCCTGTTCACCTCACCACATTTATTTAGCCGTTTAGACCAACTATCACATATTATCCTTCACATATTGATTTCTACCGGTTTTGGTCCGTGACTATAATTAGATTCATAAACGGAAAACAAACCAATTGGAGAAGAGTAAGTTGTCTGTTCATTTGATGCTTTTCATGAAAGTTTTTTTTATGGAATATTGTAACGTTTAATCAAAATAACTTCCTCTTTTTTTCTTTCTTCTTATTAGAGAAGCTATTTCTTACAGATATATGTCACAATAAGCATGAAAAGACTTGCATCTTCTATTTCATGCTGACTTTAACTGTTCTCTCTGTCTATCACACTTGGCGACACAGCCTCTCTGTGAAACCCATATCAGACGAGGAGATGCAACTGGAAGCTAGAGAGATGCTGGGGGAAACGTAGGCCAATTAGGAAGAGCTCCACACTTTCGCTTCCCACGGGTGCGTGGCGTCATGCTACGGGTTACTGTTCCTTTAACCCGGAGCTCTGCTTGTTAGTCCACTGCAGCTGTTCGCCAGTTTCCGACCTGTCACATGCAGAGAGCTGGCACCAAACCTGAATGCCCACCTTCAGGAGACCACCACACCTCCTGTCCATCTCTCCACTTATGCACCAGTTGTCCTTCCTTAGTCTTTTCTCAGCCTTAAAAAAATCCTGCTGTGTGTGTGTTTTGTTGTTAGTGTCTCAGTGGCTCTTACAGTGCTATGAACTCCTTTGTTTCTTTGTGAGAGCCAAATGTCAGTGCTGGGCGCTGTGAGCTGAGACTGCCGTACCCCTTTCCTCCAGCTGGCTTCTCACTGGGCTTTATTAGCCCAGACAAATTGCTTCCTATTCTGGACTTGCCCCAAAAGTAGGGCTCACATCCTGTGGGTCCCTTGTCATGTCTGTGCAAAAAGCCTTCAGCAGTTGCTTAAGTGCTCTATTTGTAGTCTTCCTGGATTTTTATAGGACAGGGCTGGGCTTTGAATTTCTTTTAAATTTAGATTTACAAGCTTGCGGTTCTATTTGATTTTGAATAGATTCAATTCGATATCGATTAATTGGAGGTAGTATAGGCCTATTAAAAATGTCCTCAAGAAAAAAAAAACTCAATTAATGATGTAAACTGTAAAGGGAACCCCAGTTGGTACATCATTATAATATTAAAAATTAAAATAAACTGTTGGCTACTTGGATTTAAAATTACACACAAGGAAGTTTTAATAATACCAACATTGTAATGACATAATTATGTTTCTACTCATTGTTTTTAAATAGAGGCTGTCATTAA